AAGCTTTTAGAGGCGAAGCTCCTTAAGCCATGGGTCATGCGTCTCCGATGTATGTATGTATGTATGTATGTATGTATGTATGTATGTATGTATGTATGTATTGTATGTATGTATGTATGTATGTATGTATGAACGTATGTATGTATGTATGTACGTATGTATGCATGTATGAACGTATGTATGTATGTATGTATGTATGTATGTATGTATGTATGTACGTATGTATGTATGTATGTTGTGCTTGGTAGTAGCAGTAGTAGTAGCAGTAGTAGTAGTAGTATTAGTAGTAGTAGTAGTAGTAGTAGTAGTAGTAGGTAGCCAAGTCTCGTTCAATTCTTGGAATGTACGCTGGACGGCGGTATTTGAATGTAATGAAGATATGACGAAAAGATGTGACTACGGCACTTGGAGTGTTCAAAAGATAAACGGACGGATGGACGCATGAACGGACAGGCAAACAAGCAGGTGGACGGATGGACGGGCGTATGAACGAACAGACAGACAGACGCACAGATGAACGGATGGACAGATGGATGGACGCATGGACGGATGGACGAACGGAAGCCCGGAGGGTCACACGGACGGATGCACGGACGTATGGAAGCATGAACGAACTTATGGAAACAAGGACGGACTGATGAATCATTCCCCCCACACAGCATCATTCACTCCGTGAATATTCTATGATTTGTTAGTGGAACAAACGAATTCTCTGAATGCCAACTATATGACATGCATTTTATTCCTTTTTCTATATAACTGATTGAGGAGTGCTAGAATGCGACCTCTGTAAATAACTGAGAAATACCCAAATGTGGCCTAAATTGGGCGATCACCTCAGCGCAGCTGATTTGAACACATACAACTTTGCACAAAACCCACTGTAGCTGTATGGCCGTTATCAAACTATTGTGAATTTAAGTGCTCCAACGCGTTAAGCAATCAGGTTCCTACGTCAACTTGTGGGCGCTATAAGAAAAAGTAAGATTTTTTAGGTTCTTTGAAATAGCATTGTGATTATTACTCAAGTGTTGTCGCAGTAAGGCGCTTTTGCAGTCTTCTGAGCGAGCAATTTACCGCTGTTTTTTTTTTCTCTTTCGTTTTCATCTAGTACCTTTGTGGTGATGGCTAAAATAGACGTCAACACCTACCGAACCGTAATTTTCAACAGGATTCCTACCGCTCAATTTCCATTCTAAAGGTGCTACGCAGAATGACAAGAGCGTGGAAAAACTCGAAATATTTACGAGTTCTGGCGGAACTACTCCTTTTGAACTAACAGTAGAAAAAGCCCAAATTCAGACCTCAGCGGAAGCAGCGTTTCAGTGGCGACGACAAAACGTGGCATCACGTGAAGTGGAGTCAAAAAGGTTGCGTGGTGTGTTGAAACCAGGGGCACGTTCTTTCATTTGTTTGCCATTCCTGTGAGGGCATGCAAGTTTGTGCATGCAAGAAGATTGTCGGAAATATTTTCCGAACAGTAATATTGTAAGTAAGGGCTGTTTAAATTATTTTGAAGTAGCTTAATTCCTGCACTAAGTATACTTCAGAACAATCAGCCCCATGGCCTCGGAGATCGGCTACAGCCAAGCGCTTGGCAACCACGCGAGGCTTGAACTGATCGCCGGTGCCATGTGCATAATCATGATGGTCAGCTTCTACATTATAGTGCCTTGTTATGCCCAAACACTTTTTTCGTCCTCTTCGCGTTGTCGTCTCGCTCCCGGAGCGCGGCCCATCAGGCTGAATAGCTCACTAGCTATGTGGCAGATCTAGGACATGCATGGAGCAAACTGAGCGAAGTCGTCCTAAGGCCAAACTGATGAAAGCACCAGCTTACAAGATCACGCTAATGAAGCTATTTCGAGCTAAGCGAGTGCTAATTAATGCCTTGCACATTAGGACTTCACAAAAGCTATTCGATTACCGCAAGCCAGTTAAGTTCTTCCTAGATAAGTTTGCGCGAATTATTGTGGTGATAATCCTGATAATAGTTAAGACTAAACCTTTCAACGTCATTTTAATTGGGTCTCCGCCATGTAAGACCATTGCAATTCAGACTGGTGTGATGTGGCAGTCACTCAGAAGAAAACTAGGCAGATTGAGCAGACGTTCCGATTCGTAAAAAGCTGGGAGAAACACAAGGTACTTTGATGGTTTCGGCCTTGCAGAAGTTGTGCAAGATGACTAAATTAAGTGCGAAGAAAATTCAGGGGGCATGAAGTCTCGTTTATGTTTTCATTTGTCTATTTGTTTACCATACCTTACAGACTCATGTTATAGAATAGAGTGGCGGGGACATACAGAAAAAAGGAAAAGATCAACGAAGAACTTACACTGTTGAACAATAAAAATTGGATACAAGTTAATAGTGGTAGTGTTCGCACAAAAGCATTGGTTACACGAAAAATATCGTCACTACTACATCAATGTAAATGGCGATGAAATATCGCTAGCTGTTGTGAGAGTGCAGATGATCACGAAGAAGGTTGTTGTTTGTCACTGAAATTATCACGTCAACAAGGGGAATTCACAGTGAGATTACTTGTGTCAAAGCAGATACGTGGAATGCGTGTGTTCTGTCAAAAAGACTCATAAGCCGGCACTGATTTCACATTAGTTCTTGAATGCGATCCTATGTGTTTGAAGGGAAAGTAGATTTTTTCAGGCAATAGGTGTACTTGTGAAACAACAGGATCTTGAGGTGGATATTTGATGACTGCAAATTTAAGTCGCGTTTAAGTTCTAAAACATTGCTATGACGTTGGGAGTTCTGTGCGATGAAGTGACTTCGATTTACTGAATGACTTCGATTTACTTGAATGACTTCGATTTACTGTGTTAGAGTTGATGAGGTCACCAAACTCGTGAGGCCTACTTTTACTGTGTGTACGGATACTAATTAATCTAGTCCGCAGATACTCAACTTGTAGTAATGGAGATTCAGACACAAGTAACAAACTGATTTTATGTGGAAGGACCGTGAAAGCTGGGAGTAAATAACCACATATAAATAAGATGGTTTGAAATACTTTTCTATCGTAATTGTGTATGAGAAATCGGAAAGACAGCGTTTATAAGAGATGGACGTTATATTACAATTTGCAGTGTTCAAGCTTATTAACCACTCAGTACACCAACTGATACAGTGTCTAGGTCACTTTTAAGGGGGGCGTGATCAGTAGAACATGTTGTAGTTCAATAGATGATGCTGTCATCTGCGCCATTTGCTGTCTGGCTCACATATATCACACCTAGCTATAGCAAATGGAGCGTGCGTTGATGATAACATAAATTGAGGACATTACAGGAATGACTAACAAAAACCACACCACAAATAACGTATAAACTTTGAAGAGAAATCAAGCTATAAATGGACAGAAAGAGAAAAAAAAGCAAAAGAGGTGACGAAATTCAAAAAGAATAGGTATAGAACACCAAGGAGGCTGAAAAAAAAAGAGCTTTCCGTTGCATAACAAAAAGCTTTTCGAGCTTTCAGTGTGAACAAAACTCCACCCAGCTTGCCTTTGCCACGTTAATCTCTGTGCTCCTGTGTGCGGTATATATAATTAGCAATAATTGTCTGTTGTATTCTGATACCCTAGCGACGGCCCTCTGCGATATTATTATGAAATACTTTGCGATATCGTTCTCACTGAATCAGTAATAATAGGAAAAGCTGCCGTCATTTTTATCAGCCAGCGGATGCAACAGGGCGGCACTTGCGGCCTACCGTAGCCTTACGAGCACTTGCCTCTCAAGCCACCTCCCCCGTTACTGCAATAGAACATTGGCTTGCGCCCTCAAGCCTAAGCCTTCCGACGCCCATGATTGCAATCTGAGCCGGGTTATCCTGAACTTGGTAATGTTATTCTGCTGTGCATTTCTAGGAAACGCCTTGAACGGTCTAGTGACTGCCAAAGCTATAAATTAAACCCCTCTCCTGCAAGAATTATCTCGCGCGTCCTTCGCAAACACTAAATGCCAAAAATAATCAGCGATTACCTCACATATACTCACGTTTCACTAGTACTAGCAATGCACAGCAGAAAAAAATATTCAAAGGAGAAGGGTGTGCCTGCCCTTCTACTTAGCATAACTGAAAAAGTTAACGCCGCTTTCACGGGTGCACGGAGTACATTGAGGCAGAGAGCAGTACTTCACCGTTGCGCAGCACTCGCCACGGATAAAAAGTATGTTCTTTTGTAAAGCACTGTGTGCAGAGAGAGTAAGTGACCAATACTCATCACGAAACTTTATCGCCACGGAGACGTTGTGTAGCAGGTTTACAAGTCCACTTGTTTCCAGAACCTGTGTCGCGATGCAATCAATGGTGTAGCCAACATCGTATGACACCTCACCTACGATCAGACACCTCGACGTTTCGCAAGGTTCATCTACATATTGTGAGCATTATTACTCATGACATCTTTTCATCTGTACATACTCATCATCACCACTCCAGTTTAGGCTGTGGGGCACATACTGGAGACAATAAAAAAGAGTCTTGAGGGTACTGGACGCCATCTTACAATATTTATACGGGCTAGAAAGGCACACTTACTGTAATATTGAAACACCCGAACTAATTAGTATCGTTTGGTGGAAACTGCAGATGACAGACGGCAGCATTCACACATAGTTTCACTTTAGTACCAGCATTGCAATCGGTGGTATCGGTGCTATTCATTAACTCACACTGAAATCAAGCTAATTATTGCACTCAAAAACATTCGTTGTTGATCCTCGCGAGGCTGTTTGTCCCACTAAGTTCCCGCTTGAAGCAGACAATCCGCGTAACGGAGCTGCGGCTGCTGCAGCGCGGTTGAGTCCTCCCCGCTTAGACGTCACTCTCGAGAGTGCACCACTCTGAGATCTCGAGGCGAATACGGTCCTTGGTATCATTGTCTGTCATTTATATTATAATGAATGTCTAACAAAAAGATCACGTCCTTATATCTATACTGTGCTGTGAGAACATTCCAACGTGTGGTACGTACCACTTCGAGAGCGTTGAGTGCACCACTGGGTGATGTGACGTAGGTACTCGTGATGCCGACTTGCGACCACACGTGCTGAAGGCTGGACGTGTTCCCAGAGAGGACATCTTGCACTACATCGGCCATCATGGAAGTTGTTGTTGTTTTCCTATTGTTAGTGGCGCATACCCACTGTGGGGGATTGGCGAAGAATCGAGTGGCCAATCCCCCACAATCATGAAAGCTTAGGCGTGCTTGCTCCCTCATACAGGCTCCTACCCACTACAGGGATTGGCCAAGAAGCTGCAGGCTTAATGTGAGGGTACACATTTAGACTAAGTATTAGTGCGAGAAGAGAAGTTTACATTTGCACGCGAAGCTTCAATGATTGGGCTGTGTTGTTTATGATGATGTTAAAAAAAACTGAAGCCTACTACGCGCTAGTGGGGCCAAGCCGAAAAAAATGGCGATGCAGGGCAGCCTGCGTCGTTTAACATTATTGCAGCAAAAACTGCCATGAGATCCAAACTCAGGTCACGCGCGGCGCCGTGATTGTCCGACACTGCCGCCACCACAGGCGTCCATAACCACTATCGCTAAATAAGAAATAAACATTCAGTACCATGGACTTAGTGGGCCTCGAACCTGGGTACGCTGCGTGCCAGCCCCAGTATTCTACTACTGAGCCACGCCGGGTTTTTTTTTCTTTAACGAATGAAAGTATCACCAGTAAAGTACACAGAACATACTCCATCAGAAGTGAGACAAACACACACAAGCGTCAAGAACAGGAAGCCATTCCGGAACGGGGTCAAAAGTCTCGACAACACTGCGCAGTTGAGCAGCTGCTTCTCGGAAGACAGATCTCGTCGACCGTGGTGGCTCTGGGTGTCTATCGATCATGCGACTTTTCCATAGTGAATAAAGTCCCAACGGCATAAACAGGTTGTAATGAGTATTATCAATCAGACTCTTTTTGAACGGAAAGAACCTAATACCTTGAACTGTGATTGGAAGTTCTTTTCTTAAAGTTCTTTTTAGAATGTCTCAAAAATAAAAAGCATCACGACAATGAATAAAACATTGCTCTATAGTCTCAGGTTGGTTGCAGAGTCTACAATTCACTGTCCAATGTACGTATATTGATTTTTTATTCAGCCACGTTTTCACTGGCAGCGTCGAAGTGTGCAGTTTAAAGAAAAAGGTTTTCGCTGAAGGAGATATACACATTCTACGTACACGAAATAATACATCGTGACCAGGCAGAAGCGAATATGGCTTTCGATAAACAGGTTCTGGGAAAAGGTTATTCACAAGTGCAGTGGTTAAATTCGTTCTGTCAACAGTATACAAATACTCTAAAGTAAACCTGGCTTTCAAAAAACTGACAGTATCAACAATTTCTTTTAGGAAACCCCGCAACGGCAATTCCTTAGCAACGCTTGTTGTGACATGAATAAAAGGGAGGTGGTAACATAGACGGTTACGAAGAACCGCTAATAGAAATGGGTGGCACACATCCTTCAGGTAGAAAAATCGCAACACCAACTGTCGCACGAACAAATGCACAAGGCCGAGGCCACCCTTTTCAAGTGGAAGAAAAAGATTGTCTCTTCTCATGGGTTCCCAGGAAGAGCTCCAAATAAAGCAGGAAAATATCCTATGAAAGGCTTGAATGTGTACCCGAGAGCAATGCAACACCTGCAGAATATACATAAGCTTCGATACAAGGAATATATTGCACGCTATCGCTCTGGCAAAAATGGAAAGCTCCCGTCCGTGCCATGTTGCCACCTTTCGGCGGATCGTAGTCATCGCAGCGGTCCAGTGTGGGCCGCTGTTACGATGGTTATCGAGAGGCACACCAAAGTATTTCATAGGAGTCGCATTCCAATGAATATTTGCGAAGACCGAAGGAGTTTGGGCCCACATGCCTAGCCAGAATCCACTACTTTTATCAAAATTTATGCTGGCACCAGTGACTTCACAGAAATTTAAAGTAGTGTTGACTGCTTCTTGAACGCTGTGTTTGTCAGCACAAAAGAAGGCAATGTCATCTGCATAAGCTAGAACTTTAACTTCCTCAGCATCATATCGGTAGCCTCTTATGCTGGACTTTAGAAGCACACCTAAACATAATGGTTCCAGATAAACTGCAAAAAGCGAAGGTGACAGCGGACATCCCTGACGTACAGATGAATTTAACTCTATTATACTGGAAACTGTGCGATTTACAATTAGCCTAGTTGTGCACTTCTTATAACATAGTGAAATACCATTGTATAGTACATCACCCAACTGCAGGTGTCTTAAAAGCCGAAACAAAAAAGCATGTTGTACCTTATCAAATGCTTTTGGAAGGTCTATTTGAAGGAGGGCTACTTGGTCTATGCTACCATCAATACACTAAAGAACTGAACGTGCAATATGAATGTTTGTCTGTATAGAGCGACCACGAATTCAACATGTTTGGTCGTCACGTACACAATTAGTAATCACTGTCTGTAGCCAATTTGTCAACAATTTAGCAAATATTTTGTAGTCAACGTTACATAACGATATAGGCGTGTATTCGTTAACTCTCTTTAATGCATCAGAATCAGCACTTTTTGGGAGTAATGTTGTATGACTCTGATAGAAAGAAGGAGGAAGTTCACCACGGTCACAAGCCTCTTTAAAAAGTTGCTCAAGGAAAGGTATCAGAAGTTCCTGAAAAGCTATTTAAAATTCGGCACTAAGGCCATCTGGGCCAGGAGTTTTGTTTTTCTGCAACGTTGTTATTGAAAATCTAATTACCTCTCTGGTTATTGGCCCCTCTACAGTGAGTCTATCATCATCGTGTAACTGAGGCACAAGGGCAATGAAGTAGTTAGTTTCTTCCTCAAAATTCTCCTGAAGCTCAGCCGCGGAGAACAAACATTAGTAATAGTCTTTAAATGCGGCTCTTATTTCACATGTCTCTGTGCAAAGGAAACCCCGCGACTCAATTTGCAGTATCTGTTTAGAAAGTGCATATCTCTTTTCACCCCCGAGGGATTTTTAGTGGGTTTCTCTTCAGTGAAATGGGTAACACGGGAACAAATCTTAGCTTTAGTAGCGAAGTGTTTAGTAGCGAAGTTAAACAAAGGTAAAAAGAATTCCTTTCATTCGCTTTAGAGGGAGCATAGACACAGATAATCCTCCAATTATTGGAATGAAAAATTAAGTCGCAACAAATCAGGCGTCCTTCCCCATCAGCTTGTAGTGACGTCAAAATATGATTCAAGTGCTTTCTAACTAATAAAAAGCAACCACGTGCTGGGCTGATGCATAAATTTTGATCACGGAAAACTTCCAGTGCAAGATCGGCGTCACGAGCAGCGGAAATCTTAGTCTCTTGCACTGCAAGTACATCAATGTTGTACTGCTCAAGCACGTGGCGTAACTGCCACTGACGCCTTACATTCCTCAAGCCACGTACGTTGAGTGTCGCTACACGCATGGGAAACGTTAGCGCGGTAGCCATTTTGATATCTTAGATTTTTTGTAGGTCACCTTTAGCCACAGGGCATCCTGTGGCTTTACCTCCTTTGCACTTTTTAGGAGCACTTTCCTCAGGACGCTGGCATAGGCGGCGCGTCTCTCGGTCCCCAAAGAAGGTGACACGTGGACCACACGAAGACACTTGCTCTGTCGTGTCTGGCGCACTCGTTGATGCTTCATCGGTGACCGGTGCCTGACGCTTCCTTGTCTGACTGCTATCCATTCCTTCTTGTTCCTCATTGTCAGGAGGCTTGTCTTTAAGGCCTTTCAAGTGGTGTTCGTCTGCAGCATTGCATTCATTTTTTAGCAATGCATTCCAAGTTTTTTATTAATTATTTACTTTTCCACATCATACAAAACTAATGCAGTGCCTAAACAGTACACACAGATCTAACAAACAGAATGATTACATAGTGACTAGGACTCTTTCAGATGAATTAGGTGGTTCAAGTTTTTCGAGGCACTATGTACCTGGGTCTTAATTTTTGCTCTCTTCAATAAAGTTCGCAACCATTTGGCGGAAGCATTCACGAGTGGGCATTGTATTGATGTCGACATGGCCGACTGCCATGTACTTTTTCGAAATACTGTGAAGGCCCGACATAAGGCCTGCCTAAGGCAAGATTGCGAAGAAGTCCTAAGCACCGGCGTCGCTCAGGTTTGGCCTCGACTGAACTACGCCGGAGCGTGGGACTTGTTCGCCAACTTCCCTTACGTAGGCTTAATGTCGAGAAAAGAATCGCGTTATTATGAATAATAAAGTGTCCCAGGACAGCAAAACAACAACGAGGCGTCACACATAGCAAATAGTGTACCGAGTGCGTCGTTTAATGCTGCATTCCATTACCAAAGCTGTTTGCTGATCACCTAATAACTGTGGCGCGCACCCACTTTAAACATACTTTTTCATCGCCATCAGCACCTGCATTAACAATCGGTGTGGAATTCTTAGCAAGTGTTTAGTGGATACAAAGCTTCTAAAAAATAGCAAAAACAGCACAGCGAATGCTAGTCTACGACCCAGAAATTATAATATTAATGCCGTAGTGGGTAGCTAGCCAGTGTGCTTGCAGCATTTACCCAATGAGTGCTTAGAAAAGGCCCTGAAAGGCCGATCTTCTAGCTTTCGCTTGGCTGCGCTGCGCCATCTGCACATACCTGACTAGGGGCGTAGCGCTGTACAGAGACAACGCTTGTCTTTTTTTCCGGGGGTGCTTTTCTCGACATTGTCGCATTCCGCGATGATGTGAATTTTATGGGTCATGCGACGCTGTGCACGTTGTCATCCTCATTAGCGCTAGGACACATGACTTACTGAAGACGCAATGCAAGAAAAAGTAGCTTTTTTTTGAAGTAACGCTTCATTGTGCTCCGTCTTGTATAAGCAAAGGTTTGGGATAAATAACGAAACTGAGTATTGGAACTGGCTGTGTGTATGGTCAACTTGCGGTTTATAGAAACTGCGCTTCCCTTGATGAAAACAACACCATGTCTGCAACACGAGTGGAGATAGCACTAATGGTGGGAGTTTCGTCACATATCTTTAAGTTCTGTTCGGTCGTATGGTGTTTGGTTACGTTGCATTCTGCAGAAATTGTTGCGCAAAGTGCGAGAACAACGGAGTGCCCACCTTGACTGCCATATTGTTGTAAATGAAGTTGTTCATTTGATGTGTTGCCTCCCATAAGAATGAGTACAGGTCGTTGCACAAATAACTTTGCTAGCGTGTATCCGTTTCTATTAACACAAAAAGTGCGTT